TCTCCTGCCCTGGCACAACTTAGAGCCACTGGGCATCTTGCTGAGACCAGAGGAGGTAGGAGCAACTTGGACTCCCCACCCTGCCCCCAGAAACACCATCCAGCTCCCAAAAATAGCACACAGGCTTCAGAGTCTGAGGAGTGCTTCCAGCAGAGAGGCACACCTAAGCCAGGTAGACTAGCAAAAGAAACAGGGAGGCTGAGCCTGAGGGCTATAAAATGGGAGGAGATGCGAAAGCTGGAGGGGTTAATACAAACATGTCCCAAGGGCCCTACCCTCCACCAGCTTCTTACCATCTGACTACCCCCACAGCAAGCCACAGGGGTCACCTTTCATGGGTAATAAAGCAAAACGACAGAAGCCAAAAGAGGGCTCTCTTTGGGGATCAAAAGATCTGAGTTTTAAACCCAGCTTTTACTGTGTAGCCTTAAGTAACTCACTAGAAGTCTCTGAACCTTTCATTGATTTACCCATAATAGATTAGCTTCAGATTCTGACCTTGTGGTTCCTGAGGAGTGTAGGCTCTGTCCTTTAGCCCTTGTCCACAGCATTGAGCTGGGATCTTCCTAAAGCTACAGCTGTTAGCCCAGGAGACAAGCTGAGGAATCAGCAGAGGGTGGATGGGAGGGGCATGGGTAACTTGATCCCCTCAGATTCTTTTGCCCTGAGGACCTGTCCTGTGAGAAGAGGATCAGAGGAAGAATCCTGGAGGTCAGGTAGCTTCCCAGCTGGACTCTCTTTGGAATGTGCTGGAAATTTCTTAGACTCTGAGCAATTACCTCCTAAGCAACCCTTCACTATGCCCAGAAGTCAGAAAGCCTGCCCACAATGCAAAGGCACTGAACAAGAGCAACCCAAAGGGCAAGTTGGGTGGAGCAAGGATCACATTGGAAGGGACATAGTGAGTCCCAGGAATATCCTTCCAATGTTGACAGGCTTAGTTCATCTCTCCTGAGAAAGGGGTCTGAACTCATCACCCCCTGACTCCATGCTAGCCACTCTTGACCTCCTTCAGGCGTGGAATCACACCCGGTCCCAGATGCCCAGTGGATAGCACATCTGCTTGGAGAAACCCCTTCAGGCCCCTATGTCTCTGGATGTGCTTCCAGGACAGCATCTTTGTCCCTGGACATGGGAGCTGTGTCACCAGAATTTGTTGGCAAATATAGCCTTGGCCTTACCCTGCTCTCTGGGCCCTAGAAGAAAGCTTTGGGTGGTCCTCAACCTGGAATTAAGGAGACAGACTGAGCAATCTGGGGATCCCTGTTGGTTAGGGTTTCATTGTATTTAGTGACCCAACAATGATCTAGGGCACTCTACTCATGAAAAAAATAAAGATCTAGGGAGGGAAAACAACCTACTCAAGACTTTTAAAACCACATGGTATCTTTAGTGGCAGATCATGGCCTCCCATTCACTTCCCACAAGAATGCAGGCTCCTTCCACTCCACGGCACTCTTGTTGGAGTCTGTCCTGCATACAGTTCCTCTGAGTGTGGAGGAGGTCTCCCCTCTAGAAGGGACCGTGGATTTCCATCAACCTAGTGACCACTCAGAGTGGACACAAGCACAGACCAGGGAAAAGTGCCAGGGCTGAATCCCTCATTCTCCCACTCATCTCCACCCTCTCCTAGAGCCTGCCGCTAGTCTTACCTCTGAACAGGGGCTGCACACGGGTCCTGCGGTATCTACTCAGCCTCAGCAGGGACTGGCCGAGGGCAGGGCATGGAGAGGGCTTTAAGCAGGCATGTGGGCTGGGGCCACATGAGCCAAGCCCTGTGGTGGGAGGAATGTGCAGTAGAAGATGGGGGGAGGGACGACACAATGGGGGGTGTTGGCTGCTATTTTGGCAGGTGCCGGGCACAGGGCTAAAGGAGCAAGTACCCAGCGCCATATAAGCTCATGTGGTCCTCCAGCTGCCCACATAAGCTATTTAAAACCAGAGCAGATATGCCGGGGACATAAACCAGCTGTCCCTCTTGAGAATCCCGATAAAGCAGATGCCAAAGTCCAGGCCCAGGGGGGGGGGGAGGGCTGGGAACAGGGTTGGGGACAGAAGTCAACCTCAGAGATACTTCAAGGGCCTCAGAGCCAGGTCCTGGGGAGCAGAAGGCAAGAGCTGGGGGAAAGACATCTTCTGGGCTGCTGCTACTAGACCAAGTGGCCTCGGGCAGATGGCAGGCTCCGCAGGCCTTGGAAAGAGCACCTGGAAAGTTGTCTCCATGAGGCCCGAGCCACACACCATGTCCTCCTCACAGGAATGAACTCCAACTGCCAGAGGAGGGTAGCACCAGGACGGTACTCCTTAGTCGGGCAGCAGGAGTATGAGTGGGATGCAGACGATCGTTGGGGTTTCCTCTCACAGTTAGAGCAACTTTGTCTGGCTTGCCCACTACATCAAAAGGCCCATAAGATCAGGACCCAGCTTTTGCTGTAGTCTGAATGTTGATGTCCACCAGCCCACAAAGGGTGACTGGCATAAGGTGGGGATCAGGGTGTGATGAAACCAAAAGAAAAAACTAAGTTGGGAGGCAGCTGAGCTCTCTCCAGTCTCCTACCCTCCATGCCCAGTCTTCTCAGCAGGTCCCACTGAAGTCTTACCTCCATGGACCAGGCCCAACTTCCCAGGTGCCCTAAGCCCTGAGACCCCTGACTCTTCCAGACACTGTGAGTGACTATTGCTTTCCACACCGGACTCAGCCAGCCTCTGCCCTTCTTTCCTGACCAGAGGCCCAGCCTCTCTAGTTCCACCACCACTTATGAGGTACAGGGATGCCTCTATGTGTAAGGGCCCTCTGCATACAAGATGTCCACACTTCTAGCCAACTTGCCCATTATCCAGCTGACACAGTTACCTTCATGGTCCCTAGCAGCCTCTGAGCCCAGTGACTTTGATCCCTAGCTCTGGGCTTATCCCAAGCCATGTGTGTCTCTGTGCTGCCAGCAGGTCAGCAACAGAACCAGATGAAACCACAGGCCTGGGGGCAGCATCCCAGGAAAGGGCGGGCTCAGGAAAGCTGGGGGAGCTTGGGAAAGGCAGCAGGAGGGAGAAGACTAAGAAGAATAATGAGGATAAAGCCAGGCTGACCTCATAAAGAACACGGCAGCCAGTTTCCTCTCCCAGTGGAGCACACTAAATCCCATTTTGCATTGTATCTCAGTCTAGAATCTCCCAGAATTTAGGGGTTGCTTTTCCTACCCCCCAACTTAAAATACTTTCCAAGAACACCAATAACCTTTCGGGCAGGCCATCTACCCACACAGAGCACCCTCCTCCTACAAAACTAGTGGGTTCTTAGTATCTGGGGACCTTAAGTGTGGGGCTTCATCCAGACAGCCACTACTTGGCAGCCAGACTGGTGCATAGCAGGGTGGCTCCAGAAGCAACTTAGAGGATGATCATTACAAATAATCATGTCTCCACAAAATAGGCAGAAAATCAGAAATGTGATTATCTCAGCTGGTCCATGTCCACTGGGATACCCACCCGATGACAGGATGCTCCTTGAGTCCGAAGGCCACTGCAGCAGCAGAGAAGGGAGGCAGACTCACCTCCAGGGGGCACTCAAATGTCACCTCCTACACACGCACGCACGCACGCACGCACGCACGCACGCACGCACGCACGCACGCGGCTCTGGCTCCAGCCACCTCCACACCCTTCTTGTTCATCAGCCACCTCCAGAGCAAAGCCGGTGGCAGGAGCTGTGGAGTGGAGCCTCACTCTCCCCAGCCACCTGCTCACAAAGGGCCCTCCAAAGAGGGGCTGCAGGCAGAGGTCACACCACTTTGAGCCTGCACCTGATGACCATCTCCTCCACTGTCTGAGGGGGACACCCATGAGCCTCTTCTAAGAGCTACAAAAGTTCACCTGCCAAGGAACTAACCCAGATTTGCAACATGGACATCCCAAAGCCGTTTGAGGTCACCTGCTTGAACTCTTGAGATTTAGAGAAGGGAGGGCATGGGGTCCTAGTCAAGGTGTTCAACTGAACCAGGGTAGTTTAGCCTCCATTGTCCAGGTGGCACACAGCCACCTCCTCTGCTTTGCCCACATTTCCACCAACCCTCAATTGCAGATCAAGTCCTTGGCAGGATGTACAGGGTGTTCCAAGCAGGTCTTCAGGGTCTGCCTCCTGGAGAGGCAGCCCAGCAAAAGTGTAAGACCAGCTGCAAGGAACTCACGGAGGTAAGCCAGCACTGGGTACTGACAAATGAACACATAAAGGCTCTGGGGGTCTCTAGCCTAGTGGCCTTCACCTAGGACACAAAGTCAGGTGGGATTGGCTGCTTCTGCCCCGTAAACTAAGGGAGCAGGGGGCCCGGTGTCATACTTATTAGCCATGTTCTGAGAAACTTCGGGGTTGCCCCAGGCTGCAAAGTGGGTATGGGTAGCCTTTGCACCCATTCTCCCTCAAGCTGACTGTGGGTGAAACCAGAGCAACCAGCTTGGGGTGAGAGCTGTATGATTGAAAACCTCCTTTGGACTCCAGCCATAATGGGGTTGCAGGGCCCTGGACTGCCTTTCTTGGTTTGCTGTGCATTTTCGGGTGACTCAGCATTCTACACTGCACACACGGGGCCATGGTACCGGACTAGGAAGAGGAAGCCTGGGGAGAAAGATAGGGTGTACTCTCAAATGTTCTTATTTTGTGTGTGCTTTGCTTGCGTATGTAACCATGCACCATGTGCACACTGTGCCCACAAATCCCCTGAAACTGGAGTTTCAAATATGTAGGTGTTGGGACTCGAACCCAGGTCCCCTGGAAGAGCAGCCAGGGCTCTTAGCTGATGAGCCATCTCTCCAGCCCCCAGTTCCGTACTATCACTAAATCACTAAGCTGATGACAAACCCACCACCTTAATATGAAAGAAGATGGGAAGGAGGTGTGTTCCTCCTTCCACCAAAGCCAGTGACCCGCCCCCTCCCAACTCTCCCTGCAGCTGACTCCAAAGGGAAGCAAAGCCTGCAGGGACAAACCCATCAGCATTACCAGCCACTTACACCTGAGAATGAACGAATTTATCACATCCTTCCTGAGAAAAGACTTTTCTGAGAGTAGGATTAGTGGTAATACAAAAAGGCACTGAGCTCTGGATTGGGGCTGGGGGCGGGGGCAAGAAGGGGGTGGGCGATGGCAAAGCAGGGATATGCAGCACATGGGCAACGCCTTGAGACTCCTTTCCAGTCTGGCTTTAAAAAGCCTCAGGGAGTAGTGGCTAGGTCTAGGACTTCATCTGGGGACACCTCAGGCACACAGAGTACCTACTGGGAGCAGACAAGACAGATATCTCTGGAGTTGGCAAAATAACCCAGCCTGATGCTGGCAGTGAGCAGAGGAACGCACAGTCTCTCTCTACACAGAACACAGAGACTGTATGGCTGATGTGCCAGGCTGTGTTCTGGGCTCAGGATAATCGTAACCACAGCAGGACAGCGCCAAAGCACATGTGTCCCCCAGGCAGGGCTGGGGAAGAGCTGCAGGAGTGTCATTCATGTTCCTGGCCCCCAGGGGCCCTGACCAGACTGGCTGAGAGGCAGAAAGGGAATGGGAAGCAAGAGTCAGGGGTGCTGCAGGGCAGGGGCTGGCATGAAGAAGGGCCTTTGGGGTACAGGTCTGCAGCTCTGTCCTGGCAGGGCTTGTCACACCTGTGGGGACAAAGACCAATTAGAACAAGGAAAATGGATGGGTTCCTGGAGCTATGGGGAGAGCACCTCTGGACAAGAAGATAACCCTTTGGACAAGCAAGCTCCACCCACACTGGGTAAGTACCAGAAACCTGATGGTTAGATGGGGGAGGTGTGGCCAAGCTGCGGCTCAGCCAAGCCAGTAAGGGCTCCCATTATCCTCATGGGCACATAGAGATGGACAGAACCTGGGTACTCAGACCACACAATTGCAGCCCACTTAGAGCATGCATTTGGATAGGTCTGGGAGGGGGGCTTCCACCATACCTCAGGGTTGGGCCCCTTCTGCCCCACTCACCTCTGCATCCAGGGACATGGTCGACTTGTTTCCCCATTGAGCCCTCCTGGTGACTGATGTCTCTTTCTGTACCTCCTGATCAGGACATCAAAATAGAGACCAAGTACTCAGGGGTAAAGAGGGACTTTGGATTCCCCCCATCCTCTACTCCAGGGTCTTCCTGAAAGGACAAGGACCCACTCCTCTCTTTAGATCTCACCCACAGGTTGGGTCTCTACCCTATAACCTTTGTCACCAGATCCACGTCTGAAATGACCCATTGCTGTTGGGCCTATCCCTCCTCTGGCCTGACATATGGATAAGGGTACCTGAGGGCCCTGGTCTCCAAAATCCTGGGTCTTGCTGATCCATAGATTGAGTCTTGATGTCACAACCCCTGACAGTCGCAGATTTTCCTAGGAAAAAAAATTCCCACCTTAAGGCTCAGAATCCCTAATAACACTAAGACTCTTCCAGAGGTGTCCACTCCACACAAGCCATGCATACCTGGCAAAGGCCCCACTGTGAGAAGTTCTGCACCCAGTAAAGGAGATTTAATACAGAACAATACAGTTTCTAACACTGCCATGCTTCAGGGATGTCAACCTAGAGCCCCAGCAGCTGGGACCTGGCCCTTACCTTTCGGATGGTTGGTTCTGTGCGGTTCTGGCCTGCCAGCTCCTTCTCAAAGAGGTGGCGCTTGCTCCCCCCCGGCGGGAGCCACAAGGACCTCAGTGCGGGAGGAGCCTGGAGACCTGACGGATTCGGATCTCTGTAAATCAGGAATGCGAGTGGCTGAGCCATGACTGTAATGTTCATAAATAGTGCCCTCCACCCTGGCACAGGCTCCAGGGGACCCCCTGCTCCTACCTGGATGGCTGTGTGGTATCGCTCCAGTTTCTCCCCTAGCTTCACCGTGCTAGCTGGCAGTCTCACACTGGCACTGTAGGTCGGGAAGACAAACTGAGATGAACCAGCTGAGACTCTGTACCCCAGGGAGGCCAGGGCTGCTCCCAGGGCTTGAAAAACAACCCCCTGATACCCTATCCCGCTGGCAAAGAAGGACAGGGGCTGATGCAGGTGCCTCTGATGTACAGTGGATTGTAATGACTCGGTCAGGGTGAAGTCTGTAGATGCCCAGAACTTTCACACCTTTCACACCTCCGAGGAACAGCCTGCCTACTCCACAGGGCATCTCTCCTCCCTCCCTTCTCCTTTCACACCCCACCACTTCCCCTCACCTCAGTTCTCACAGGCTGGGAGGTCATTATAGCCCCTGAGCTCCCACCCTTGGTTCACACTGTCACCTCTGCAGCTGCCTGCCTGGGTGGCTATGTGTTTAATGTGAGTAGTTTGAGGTTAGTTTGAGGTTGTTCTCTTGCTCCGACCCCCAGCCCTGGGTCTAAGAACGTAAGCCCTTATTAAAGGTTTAGCAGGTAGGTAAGTACAGCACAGGTGGATGAAACTTGTAACACCAGCACTAAATTTTAGATCTGATTTATGTTTGCCCCCCCCTCCCGTGCAGTGTACCATCCTCCATCTACTTGGCCTGGTGTTACAAGGGTAGCTACTAAACATGCAGGTTCCCGGCTACTGCTCTAGGCCTGCCACAGCTGAGCCTTTCCTTCCTTGTCCTAACCACAGTCTCCCCTCTGGAAAGTTCTCTTACCCTTTCTCACCCCAGCTCCAAGATAAACCAAAGCCTCCTCCCTCTTCAGAAATCCATTAAAGCCGTGTTTCCTCCAAGCAACTCTCTCAGGGACCACAGAACAAGTACTCAACTCCCTGACAAAGCACACAAAGCCATCATGACGCTTGCTCCCTCCCAGTGTCATCTCACCCAACCCCAGGACCTCCTATCAATCCTGTCACCTTGCCAAATCTAGAGTCCCAAGCAAAATTTGCACCTCCCCTAATGTATGCTGTGGCACAGCCTAGCACAATGTCGACAGGTGAAGGAAAAAAGAAAAAGAAAAAAACAAACAAACAAACATAGGAGCAGACAAAAAAAAAAAAAAAAAAAAGGAGTCAAGATAGCTCACCTGCGGGTTAAGGTTGTTTCCGAGTTGTCTTTCCTGGGGCTCATCTGAAATGAGAAGGTAAGGGTCTTAGGCAAGTCCATGCCCCCTCTCCAGTGAGGATTCTAGTTCTCAGGGTACATCTTCTTCCTGAGAAACAAGTCCTCCCCCACACAAATGAGCCCAAGCTTTCACTGAAAGTCTTAGTCCATAAGCACCTGCCTTCACCCTCCAGTGTGGGTCCAAAGCCCTTCCTCCGCCACCTCACCCCGGCCTTGCTGAAGTACCTGTTACAACCTGTATTCCTATCTGCTTCTCCACTAACCAAGAGCCTTGAGGATACAGGTCAACCTCAGGCATATGGCCTCTTTCCCGGGGCCTGTATCAAGGCACAAGGCACATTCAATGGATGAGCAGATGACCCAGTAAACAATAAGAACCAAGATTAAGTACTGAGACAGACCAGTTCCAATTTCATCACATGGAAGCAAGGCAGGGGCAGAGAGAACACTGGAAAGAAACCTGCTGTTCTCTGCCCTGTCCCTACCCCATAAGGAAGATACAAGAAGGCCATGACAGGTCTGTCTGGTCTGGTAAGTTCATCTTCCTGCAGTCCTGATATTATCCACTAGGTGGGGCTGCTCTCTGCACACATTTTCTAGGTCTTCAACCTGCTTTCCTTTATTTAAAATGACTTGTCTGGTTTGGACACCCATGGAAATCCAAAGCTCCTCTCTATTCAGTTTCTAAAGAGACTTTCTGTTGTGTAACCCAGGCTCTTGCTTAATGGTTTCCTTTGCATGCTCTGCAGTAGATTGATGACTAGGGTGTAGTGTCCCTGCCCCTTACCCGAAAGGAGATGGTCCTAGGGCTGGAGCGTTTGAGGGAACTGCTGTAGGTGAGCAGCGTAGGTGAGGATGTGTCTGCCTCTTCATCCTTGCTGGGAATTTTTACCTGAGTAGAGCAAAGGTGTCAGACAAGAACTCGCCTTCCTTGGTACAAGTGTAGGCGCTCATAGGCTCAAGCCCAAACTTCCAGGGGGACCTCAGGTGGCCTGGCTCATCCCAGAAGCTAGAGATGGGAGATCCAGTCAAACTGTCTACTCACTCTCCTGCCTCTGCTATGCAGTGACCATAGAGTCTCATGTTGCCTGGCCTCCAGGCAGAGCTTAGTTTTGAGGGGTTCTGAGGCTCCCTAAGAGCTCTCTAACTAGCCCAAGGCCCCCATGCTTAATGGGTGCCGGTTTCCTGAGAGGGCTTTGTAGTGGACAGGTGACAAGGTTACCCTGGCTCTGAACAGAAATAAATGGCTTGGGGGCTGGAGCCCAGGGCCTGGATGAGGATGCAGGGGGGACCACAGGTGACCACTACAACAACCCGCCTTGGACTCGGGGTCCTATTCAGACAGTAGCTAGGAATTCTGACTTGCTAGGAGGAAAAAAACTGTCAAAGCCAGCCCAAAAGTGGGAGGAGAGGAGGAAGCAAGGGAGCGAAAGGCCTCAGGACTGGACTGCCAGGGAGGGCAAGGGAGAAAGGGGCAATGCCTACCTGGAGTGTGATAGGTGGGAAGCCAGACACCTTAGTCGGAGCATCTGAAGTACCCTGTTCTGAAGAGGATGGTGGGCTCTTCCCAGGGACAGCCCTCTCTCGGGGCTCCCTTGTGGTGACCTGGCTTCCCCCAGGGGCCTGGGGCTGCTCTGAGACTGTTGCTTTCTTTGGAGTCAGCTTTGTCACTGAGACTAGTGACTTCTGGAAGATGGACGCTTTCTCTGACACCAGCCGCCTCTCTTGCATCTTCTCAAATACAACGGCTTTTTCTAGAACTGGAGTGGACCTTTTCTCTGGTGCTGCTGTCTTCAAAGACACAAGTGTCTTCTCGAGGATGGGTGACTTCTCTGACAAACTGGTTCTTTCTGGAACCAGCTTCTCTGGGCTGCGTTTCTTGTCAGTCAAGGATGCTTTCTCTGCAGCTGCCCCCTTCTCTGAGGGACAGGCTTTCTCCGAAGTCAGTCTCTTGGCAGGCACTGGAGTCTTCTCTGGCACAGGCGATTTCTCAGAGACCAAGGTCTTCTGCTGGACCACTGCTTCCTCTGGAAGCCCCTTTCCCCCTCCCCCAAGCTCTCTGCCCTTTATGTTCTCTTCTTCCTGGGCCCAAGGACCTCGCTGCTCCTGACTCAGTCTCCGGCGAGGTAGGGGCTCCACTTTCTTCTTAAGCACAAGGGGCTGTGTCACGGTCTGCTCAGGGCCTGGGCTGTCCCTTTCCCCCTCTGCCTCTAGCCTCTCCTGCACTGGAGCCTGGACAGCCTCTACCACCTGACGCCTCTGTCTCCGTTCCTTCCGAGTTCTAAGGATGGCCTGGAAGTCCTCTTCCTCATCTTTGGAGGTTGGAGGTGATGGCTTGGGGACCTCTGCTTCCTCCACACTGGGCAGCCTGAAACAAAAGACACAGAGAGATAAGGTGGACAGAATCAGATGCCATCAGGAGTGAGGGTGACCCTGGGTGTAGCTGACTCAATGAGATGCCTCCAGGGCCACCAAGGAGGAAGCAAACAAGTTAGACCCTGCTCTCCTTGCCCCACAACCACTATTTTAAAAATAATCACTTATATCTATGCTGTATGCTGCCCCTCCAAAGGGTCACTTGAGCAAAGCACCCCAGGCTCTAGAAAAATCACAGATTTTGTCCAGTGTACAATGAACTGTTTGTTCCATGTTCAACCACAATCACTAACACTAATCAAGCAACTGCTTTGTAGGTTCTGGGCCTGGGGCAACATTGGTCAGGAGGGCTCAAAGAAGTGAGTTCAGTCCATCAGAGCCTAGAGGAAGCTAACTGGTAGGGAGCTAGAAGGAAAGCCCAAGGCTTCTGTGGCACCATTCCAGTATCCTGTCCATCGTAAGGGTATGTCTAGGACATGGTGACAGTCATGGGTTTGGGTCAGCCCACAAACACAGCCTGGTTTTTCTTCATTAGGAACAAAAGCAACATAAAATAATTGTGCAAAACTCAGAGGTCCTGGTCCCCAGCTAAAGGAGTCCGTGCCTGCTGTCACCCTGCTTTTCATGTGATTTCAGGCAAGTTAACTTAACTGTCTGAGCTTTTCAAACCTGTAAACTGAGCTTGTTAGGCAGTGAAATAAGAGCCACCTGGTGACAGCAAATTCCTAGCACATAGGCGACATTCAGGAAGCTCTGGGCCCTTCTCTTCCTTCCCCTCATAATCCCCAAACTAGATGTCAAGATTGGTCATCCCCTTTTGCTCCACTCGGAATGGGGATGATCAGAGTATGGGGGTAGTCCATTTAAGGAAAGTTTGACAAAGCCGGATGAACATTGTGGCCACACTCATTAGGTACAGGACCTCGACGAGTTACCTAAGCATGCTTCCCCAAGTCTCTCCTGCTGTAAGACAAGTTACTAACAGTGGCCTCTCAAACATCATGAGGACTGAGCGAGCTACATACATCAATAAAATGCTCAGCAGAGTGGGGCTCATGGACAGGCTCACCAAACAGCACCAGGAGTGTGATGGTGACGGTGGGGACCATGATTGGTCTGAGGATGGGTCTAGGGATGATGAGGAACTTGAATTTCATCTTCCCACCATCAACCTTATTCCTGAACCAAATCTCTAACAGGCCAAACAGATTTCACATAGTCTTCTGGGGCAGCTAGGTGCTCCCCCTTCCACTCAGAATGGAGACATGATGTTCAGATTCTAACCCAACCACGTACCTCTCCACGGATCTCCTAGCTCCATTCTGGGTGAGTTTGGGAGATTCATCATCTGTGGTTGAACTCAGGTTGCGGTGCCTCCGCCTGCGTTCACGCTCCTGTTCCTCCTCATCCTCCAAAGTCCGCTGCCGGGCCAGGCTAGAGGAAGGAGGTAGGGATCAGAACAGCCCAGAGACCGGACAACACCTTTCCTAGCCAGACTCCCACAGGCTTGGAAGAGACAATTGCCTCTAGGCAGCCCTGCTGCCAGTGGTGGTGGGGCATGGAGTACAGATGGCTGGGACAGTGATGTTCTAAGTACAAATACACACCACATTCCCAAGACCCAGGATGAAGAACAAAGTGTAACATTTCTCATTAACCTTCTGTGATGGCTGAAGGCTTGAGCCCAGGAACTTCAGGTTACCCTGTGCTACAGTGAGAGTCTGTATCAAATCAGGAAGATAAAAAAGTGTACATTGACTACATGTTGAAATGATTGCTTTGGGGTATATTAAAGCAAATAAGATATATTATTTAGTTTTCCGCTTTTCCTTCTTTAACATGGCTGTTAGAAAATTTATTTTTTCAGTGCAGTTCCTTTCTTCACAATTGCAGGGATCTAGTTAATCGCAGTGTCTCTGGGTTGGTACCACTTTGTGACGAGCTGCCCTGGATTAGAGGGTACAGAGCAACACCCCAGACACCAGTAGCAGCAGCACCCAGTTAGGACAACCAAAGACATTTTCCAGCACTACCAAATAGCTCCTTGGGGTACCAATGCCCCAAGATGAGCACCAATGGGCTGGATTTTACTGTGGGAACAGAAGGTCTCTGGATGGTGGATCAGGGAAGGTGGCATGGCTCTGTCTAAAGGAAGGTGACCTTGACAAGGTCCTCTCACTTCTGAGTTCTTGACAGACAACAACTGAAAATTGCCTCAAAGTTGCTCACTCCCCACAAAAGTCCTTAGCCTCTGGTAGTAGGGCTAAGGGTAGACTCCCAAATAAGACTGAGAGAAAAACCATCATATCCTTTCACTTATTATGGTCTTTCTCAGCTTTTAAAGCTGTCTTCTACCTGCCTGGAGCAGCAAGGGGACTCCACATACTCTGCATTTGGTTTCCACTCCTGTGACCTTGCATTTGTGGGACTAACTGGACACACTTTCAGGCAGCCAAACAACCCCCACTAATCCATTCACCCAGCCAGCCAGTCATCTGGCAATCCAACCAACCCACGCACTTGCCCTTCTTGCCGTCTTTATTCACCTACACTACCAGAAACCCACCTTCATCCACCCAGACAAATAACAAATGAACACTGATGGGCTCTAACAAGCGGCACCTTAATCTGTAACTAAGATTGAGTATTAAGAAACGTATGCCTCGATGTATTCCTTTTTCTTATGTATAATTCTGTCCTTGAAGACAAAACTGTTTTATTTTATTTTAAAGATTTTTATTTATTATGTAGACAACATTCTGCTTCCATGTATATCTGCACACCAGAAGAGGGCACCAGATCGCATAACGGATGGTTGTGGGCCACCATGTTTTTGCTGGGAATTGAACTCAGGACCTCTGGAAGAGCAGAGCTCTTAACCTCTGAGCCATCAATCTAGCCCCAAAGAGGAAACTTTTTAAAGGCATGTTGTGTTGGATTGCAGCTGAAGAAGGGAACAGACATAAACATTCCTCAAAGGGACCCTTGCTTATATATATTTAAGGAGGATTATTTAAAGTGAGGATGGATTTAAAGTAGAATGTGTCGGACAAGTTTAACTATTTCACTTATGAGGTTTCTCAGAATGGGAAATACAAGTCTTTTTAAAGTGCTTTAGTCAGTTATACAAAAACAAAAAACAAAACAAAACAACAACAACAAAAAAAAAACCTGAAACTCCTGGGTGTCAGCAAGAGACAGAAATCAAAACCCTAGATGGTGGGGGGCGGGGGGATCCCTCTCATTGCCTATTCCTGACTAACTACTCTGTTGCAAAACTTACAATTTGTATACTCTGAATTGCATCTAAAGTGTATGTATGGATCTCTGGTGTCTGCAAGGCAGGCTCGGGGACCTGGTCTCTAGTTCTCTTGTTCTTGGGCAAGTCACTACCTTCCCTTCTTCACTTTTGAAGAGGGTGATGGCTCTCCTGCGTTGAGCATCATATCTATAGAGCCAGCACTCACTCACCCAATGCTTTTGGGGTGTCTACAGGCCAGGCATGATTCTGGGAGCTAAAATCCAACAGGAAAGAAAATAACACATTACTCACCCTTCATTGGAGGCTAAGGGAGTCAGACCATACAAGCAAGGAAGCAAACCAGGACAAAAACAGTTAGACATGGCTGATATGAGAGACATGCTTGGGTACATAGTCCTGATTCAAGAGGAGGAACCAGCAGTGTCAAGTCTGGTGGCACAGGGCCCCAGGAGGGGGTTGTGAGTGCAGAGCCCTGCCTAGTGTGAGGGCTGATGCTCAGGAGAAGGTGGTAGGCTAGGGATAGCCTACAGAGGAACTATAGAGGAGAACAGGGACAGAGCAGTGAGTTTTGAAGACCTCTGGTATCTAACATGGAGACCAGCATGTAGCAAGTCATCACCCCAAGGAAAGGAGTGACCTTAGAAGAGAACCTTCTGAAATATCCCAATTCCACCATTATGAGGGCAACCTCTGCTCATCTGAGTCACAAAGTGTATTCCACCTCAATGCAAACAAAAGAGGGCCAGGGTTTTTCCGTATGTCCTTGACCATGGATCTTAAGCCCAGGGACTCCCCTGGGCCTTCACATGGGCCCTGTAATCTTTGATATTTAAGAGCTGATTCTTCATTCACTGCACACAAGCTTATGAGTCTCTTATGAACCAGGCCCTGGTGTCCCACCTCTCCTCCACCAATTTCTGCGGCCTTGCAAATGAGGACACTGATCCTTCTCTCACTGTGCATGCACCTTGCCCCCTGTCCTAGTTTGGGAACAACTCCTACCCTCCAGAGAGGGTCCTCATCCTGAGGAAAGTGAACACTCCCCACCCACACCCAGCAGGGCTGGGCTGGAGCCTCCAGGATTCCTTGGCCATGAGCAACACTGTTCTCATATGCTTCTCGCTGTCCTTGGAGAAGCAGGGGGCTTGTTTGTCCTCCACTGGGGCCCTATGTAATATGTCATCAGCCTGAATCAGGTCTCCTCAAACACGCCTCATGACCAGGATGGGCCAAAGCTGACTGCAAAAGTCAGGGTCAGATGTCTACTCTAGTGTTTCCAAGCTTTACAGCCAGACCCCAACACTCAAGAAGGGAGGTGTGGACACTAGCACATACTGCTCAGAAATCATGGGGCTACCTTCAACTCCTGACACCCAGAAAAACAGGAGTGTTTTCATTATCTCACCCCACCCCAGCAGAAGAATGTTATCTCCAATAAGCAAGGATTATTGGCCTCTAAAGGAAGAAATGGACAAAAATGGAAGAGAAGGAAGGCCAAAGGTCCACTTCCTTATCAGGTGCAATGACTGAAACCCCAGTAAAAAATCAATTATTTGGGGGGCTTAGAACAGGGCTTGAAATTCAAATGTGATGAAAAACAAATGAATTAGGAAAATAATAAAGGAGGATGGGGGAGTACTAGTGTACTATAACACCAGAGGCTGGTCTAAGTACTTTACAAATACCACTGATGTTAATCCATGCAAGGCTATGAGCAAGGTGGTGCTACCCAGCTCGAATTTGAGAAACCTGAGGCTTGGAGGAGTTTGCAACTTTCTGGAGAAAGCATGGCTACTAAAAAGAAGAAACCAAGACCTCCCACCTAAGTCACCCTCTTAAAGCTTCACGCCCTAACCAGGACACAAGGATCAGAAAAGATGTCCTGCAATGCTGGTCCTAAATCAGAGCCTTACAGCTGAACATTCAGAAGGAAAGCAGGGCGAGGCAGGAGCAGGGGCAGCCAAGCTCAGGGCGCAGTTACCAGAACAGAGGTTTGAGGAAAGTCAGCAACCACGGAGCCCTAGAGCCTGGCCCTATGTGAAACCTGCAGGCCCTAACAGCCCAGAGACTTGGCAGCTGACCCTGCAGCCTAGCCAAGCAGCTCACTATTCACCCCCCTCCACACCTTTGCCTCCACCTTCTGGCCTTCACTGGGGGACACACATCCCTCTCTGCACCTCCAGGTGAGGCTGCTATCCCTCCCCACTCCTTATTCACAAACCCCACCCTTTCTTATGGATGGCTAAAGACACCACTGTCCTGTTACACTCAGGAGTAGAACCAATGCCCCCCCCCCCACACACACACACCTGTGGTCACAGAGAAGCCTATTACAGGGCAGATGAAGGCTTGGCTTCTCTGGTTTAAATACCTAGAGGGTTTGTGAAGATGCCCCACAAGCGTTTAGTGAACTCTGGGCTCAAAGAACAGGTCCTGAGGAATGGAGAACAGTGGAAGGGCCCTCAAGGTGCCTGTGATTTTGGGCCACAGCCACAGTTCCTGAGCAGGCAGGCCTCAGGCTCCTCTTCCACACACTGAGGAGCTATTGTGGGTGGCCTGAGGTTCCTTCCGCACCAGACAGTCTAAAGAAAGGTAGCAGGAGAATCCAGAGAGGCATGGGAGGTGAGAGGGCTGTTAAAGGGCCTGGCAAGGAAATGATTAACCACTGGCCACTTAGTCCCAGGCTCTCAGATCCTCCCCTCACCCCCCACAGACAGGCTGGCATATCCTCACTGGTCGCCAGGTCAGCACATGGAGAAAAGGGCAAGCGGCTCATCACTGCCCCATCCCAGGCCTGCAGTTTCTGAGCCTCAGGGCTGAGGACAGTGAGTACAGGCTCACCACATCTCCGCCTTGGTTCTAGTTGAGGCCACCCTTGTCACGCCCTCAGCAAAGGCCTCCCCAGCCTAGAAGGCTTGGTTCATGGTGACTCACAGCCCTTTCCTGCAGCCCGCTGGGGCTTGTTACTCACTCAGAGAGCAGAGCAGGAGTGGTCCTCTGCTCCAGGTGCCTCATCAGGGAGACGGTTGGCAGCAGCTGCATCTGCCCACGGGTTCCATGAAGGCTAGAACTGGGCAGGGAGGCCAGACTAGGTCCTCCAGTGGCAGGACTGGTTCCCCAAGGCTTCACTACCACTTAGCCTGGACATCCCACGGGAACTCAGCCCCACCCCTGCAGCCACATGAGTCTATGTCCAACTGAGCAGAGGACAAGCTAAGACCAGACCTCCTCCTTCCCATTAAAAATCCTAGTGCCCCCAGCCAAATCCTCTATACACACACAGAGAGAGAGAGAGAGAGAGAGAGAGAGAGAGAGAGAGAGAGCCAGGCTTTAAAATAAAATCACAAACACCCAAATCAGTCTGGGCACTTGTAAGGAAGAGAGATCTGTTTTGTTTTTTAACCTAATTTGCAGTGTTAACATCTTCAACAACCATTTCAGTGGAGCACTGTGGGAGCAAACTCAGCTGCCCACATGGACATCTCTTATCTACACAGGCCATAAACATGCTCACCCACACAGAAGCTGCTCTCCATGTATCTGAGCATGCATTCATAGGCACCGATGTGCCCACACCCAGAAACAAAGACACTCCTGCACCAACCCCATGCACACTGACCCACAGACAGAGTCCAAGGCCTTGGCCCCCACATCAGCTCCACCCTCAAGCACATACCTTCCCTGGGGTGTGTCTGACCTCTAAGGCAGCCTGGGTTCCCTTTCCAGAGCATTGGGTCTCACTCTCCTTTGGACTTGCCCTTTCCCTTCTCTAGATACTATGGGCCTCTCTGCACTGCAGCTGAGGGCAACCATGTCCTCAGAGCAGTGTCCTTCGGGTCTGAGGAGATGTTCCTCAGACCAAATGGATGAGCTTCTGTGAGAGACTGACACTGAAGCCCTCGGGGAGACCCTGAGGGGCAGCAGATCTTAGGTGATGGAAAATGTGTGAGAAATCCCTTGATAAGCAAAGCTATGGTACCTGTGCTGCCGGACAGTTGCTGGGCTGCACCGACAGAGATAGCTCTGACCCCATAGGAGGCCTGAAGACCTAGAGCCCACTTGAGGAAGGCCAAGAGGCCTTCTTTACCCTGGCTGGAGCCTAAGGAATAGAAAGAGCCTCTGCTCCCTTAAGACAAAGGATGCATTCCAAGTTGGGGACTCAGTGGCAGGACGTGGAAGAAAAGATGCTCCTTTCGACAGTTCTGGAGAGGGAGGGGCCGCTCCAAGAGGAGGCACAAAGAGAGGGGCTGCCTCTTAGATACCCACCCACTCCTAGGCTTCTCTGACCCTGATAAGCTGTCCAGCAGGTGGGGATAGGAAATACAGTTTCTGACCCACTGGGACCAGCTCACAAACATGGATTGCAGCACAGACAGGGATAGCAACTCTCTTTCCCCCAGCATAGATGCCACCCCAAATGCAAACTCAGAATTTGAGTCTCTCTCAGGATGGGGGAGCTGTTTTCTCTGACCCTAGTCACAGACCGGGCTCTGTTGACTCCATTAGGTGGGGCTAAAGGACTCTTCCCAGACCTTTTCTAAAAGTCTTAACAGTGGCGTAGAAACTGGAGGTTCACTCAAGAATAAGACTTGAGGTAACTCTTGGATCTTCCCAGTCCTGTAAACTGTTTCTTTGCCCTCACAGACAGTGGCACCCTGTGCTGTCCAGGCTGCGGACCAGCCTTCCCCTAACCTATTCGTTAGGACCTAAGCAGACAGAAAGCTGCGGAGCAGGGAGACCACCCTCCCTGTCACCTGAGGGGTCGAGAGTTTGGTCTCAATTCTGACTCCACCGAAGAGCAACAAGACCCAGGGGCCCGCCCGCTTCGGCAGGGGTGCAGGCTTGTGTCCGGGAGAGGAGATCCAAAGGGGAAAGGCTGCCCCCCAGTCCCGGCCCACCCGGCCTCAGTGGC